CCCCAAAACCCCAAAACCCCAAAACCCCAAAAAAGAGCATAATAATGTTAATAAGAATTTGGAAATAAAAAGAAAATCAATAATACTATATAGAAAATAATTAACAAGCATCATTCGAATATTAAACTTTAATGGGAAACAAGCACCCTACTCTTAACTTAGATTAAGGCTTTCCAAATATCTTGACATACCAGAAAAAGGAAATTCTTAAATCTTGTATACCCCACTTTTACAATTGAACTCACCTTGTTAGTCAGTAAGAATGAACTACAGTTCATATTCTTGCTTTATTTGAACTTGAAATCAAGGACAGTACTCGAAGGCATAGATAAAGAGTCATTCCACCATTTTTGTCAGATGCCAGTAAGTCTTAAAGCTCTAAAAGCATTTCATCATTTACCTTGCTAGGGACTTTGGGGACAGAGGTTTTGGCAAAAATTTCAGCGAGTTTAGGGCAGAGAATTCATAGAATTTGACGAATTCATTTACTCTTTGTGTAAGTTTTATTTGTCATCATTTGCTAATCAATTGACTCTTTATTGGAAAAATTAGTCTCTAATAAAAAGAGAAATTTTACCAAAGATAACGACTTTTATTAATTATTTTATCAACAGATACAATATGCAGAAGCCCTGAGGACTAATAAGATAGATTTATATTTGATATGTTCAACTTGGGCTAGAAGCCTGGCTTGGGTTAAAAGCAAAAGAAAGAGATTACAAAGGAGGAGATGATAGCGATGATCTACAATTTGCCTTATCAGGGAATAATCACTTCTACTCTCAAGCAAGGGAAGTAGGATTAGAAAATATCAGATCCTGATGAAGTAGATCCCTCACTTTACACATATCAAAGTAAGTACAACAAATTACACTTAATGCATTTGTGATTTTAACATTAATGTGAGATAGTTAAGAGAAACTTGAATAAGAATTCACATGAGAAGTTGTCAATTGGATAGTTCAAGTTTTTACAGATGAAGCCAGATCATGTCAAATGCATCATTGATTCAATGATAGATTCTATCTCTGATAATGGGTTGCTTACGTTTGAATAGTTTAGACAATGGCTAGAAATAAACCCTGCAATGAGAACTATCATAAAAGAATCTGTGAAACCATAACTCTGGACATTAAATGAAAAGGGTTTCGCTCATTATCAACCAGATGGTTTATTCTTAGACACTCGCGAAGACTCCAGATCTTAGACTTTCTAATATCCTAAAGGCCAAAATCTCTAATCAAAGAAGCAGCAGAGCTCAATAGCTAAGCCAGTTAAGATAGATAATTTAAAGAAAAAGTAAAAGGATAATAGTAGCATCTCTTGTATAAGTATGCAAGGCGCATCACAAAAATACATTGCAAGTGATAAAAATGAACTTGAGGATTTGTAACCAGGTGAAGTAGCCATTGAAGGAGAGCTCTTAAAATTGGGCAGAAAAACGGAAATGTGGCGTAAAAGGTATTTCGTTCTAAAGGACTCAACTCTAATATGCTACAATAGTAAAAGTAGCAAAGGTCCATCAAGTAAGTATCAATTCTGAGGTGTTTTTTAAATTTCTCTGATTTTAGATGTGATATACCTGAATGGATTATACGTTGAAACTTATTATTCAAAGGGAGTTCAAGGCCTAAGAATTTTTCATGACTCAGAGTACTTTAAGGAAAAGATGTTTTATCACAAAGATTAAAAAGTGATCCAAGTATGGTTGAATAAAGTAAAGCAGCAGGCATGCTACTATGACATCAACAAAAAGTATCAGAAAATGAATCAACTCGGCAAGGGAAAGTTCTCTACTGTTTATCTCTGCAGAGCCTAGGAATCTGACGAGGTCGCAGCCATGAAGTTAATTGATAAGAGAAAACTAACTGTGAAGGAGAGGGAATTCCTAAGGGAGGAGATATAGATTATCCGTTCGATATCTCACCCTAATGTAGTCGTGATGATTGATGCATTTGAGACTCTGACGAATATGTATATTATGATGGAGTGCATGCAAGGCGGTGAACTCTTTGACCACATCAAGGACAATGAGATCTCTGAGAGGGAGGCAGCACTCATCACTTTCCAGATCCTTGAAGCACTCTAGTATTTGCATCTGGCAGGTATCGTGCATCGTGATCTGAAACCAGAAAACATCCTAGTTGAGAGAGATCCCCAGAGCAACGAAGTACAACACATCAAGATAACTGACTTTGGTTTGAGCAAGATAGTAGTGCCTGGAGAGATCATGATGGATAGCTGTGGAACTCCTGCCTATGTTGCTCCAGAAGTGCTCACTAAACATGGTTATCAAAAAGAAGTTGATATCTGGTCTACTGGTGTCATTCTTTATACCATGCTTGCGAGAGCTTTACCCTTCCATTCAAGTGACAGAAAGAAGACTTTTAAGTTGATCAAAGAAGCAGACCCAGATCTATCAGGTGAACCCTGGGACACCATCTCAGCAGATTGCAAGGACCTAATCTAGAAAATGCTGATCAAGGACCCCAAGGCTAGAATTACAGTTGATGATGCAATAAAACACCCCTTTTTCAAGAAATACCAGAAGCACATTAATAACGTTAAAAACGATTACATCCCAATGATTGATCATGACACGGGACAGATCAAGAAGCCAAGGAAAAGTTCAGTCAGTGGTTCCTAAACCAGCATGCTAAGCAAGCTAAAATCTATTTAACAGTCACAGACTGATTATGCTGCAATGGTAGATGAATCGCAAGATGGAGTAGGGAAGATCTCATAGCAAATCAACCACGTTCAGTCATCAATCGGAACGAAACCATTCCATCTTGAATCAGGAATGCATCACATGGAAAAACTGGATTCTATGGATTCTCTTGATGACGACCCCGATCATAAGGGCGAAAAAGTTAAGAAGTAAAGACTCAAGGAGATTTAAAACCTAGGCAGTGGAAATCATAAAAATCAATTAGATAAGCTTCACCTTGGTATAGATTAGCACTAGCAATTCTATTAGTAGTTAAAGCAACAGCATGAATAGGATCTAGTCTTACATCATGTCTCAACAAGAACATTCCAGCCTATTAAAGGCTTCGACCTTGGTACACTCATCTAATAAGAGAAACAACAGAAAGAACAGCCAAATGGAGTGTAGGCTCAGGCCCAGGAGAAGAAGAAGCATAATTTGGTAATCCTCAAGACCCACAGATTCTTTTCAGATCATTTGGACGAAGAGCACGAGCTAGATCATCATCTTTGAACCAATATCACCCAGCAGCAACAATAGCCCTATCACATTTTAATATGAAGTCAATAACAATGTTATCTCATCAACTCTCAAAGGAGTTTGCAGGGTATCGCTGACTTCAGTTTATTTAAGTTAATTTAACAATTTATTCAAAACTTTAATTTTAAGATAGTATTATTTATAAGTGAGGGAATAGTCCTCTGAGAATATAATTAATTAAAATTCAAATAAATAAAATGGTAACTACTATTCTAATTCAAATTAATATATTGACTTTTATCATAGAACAAAACTGGCGTAAACAACACAACTTAAAATCAAGCATCATCAGGTGGAGCAGGTGGATCAAAGAAGAAGGGCAAGGTAAAGGGTCAATACAGACAGGAGTTAACTGAAGCTCAAAAAGCTGAAATAAAGGAGGCCTTTGATCTTTTCGATACCAATGGCCACGGAGTGATTGACATGAAAGACTTAAAGGTAGCCTTGAGAGCTTTAGGTTTTGAGCCAGCCAAGGAAGAAATCAAGCGTCTGATTTCTGACTTAAATAACAATGGAGCTGGTTAAGGCCAGAGAGAAAGAGAGAAGGACAAGGAAGGCCAAGTCACCATTGACTTCAATGACTTCCTTGAGATCATGACTACCAAGATGTCTGAGAGAGACTCTCCAGACGAGCTTGAGAAAGCCTTTATTCTCTTTTCACTTAACAAGCCATTCATTGAGTTCGCTGACTTGAAGCGCATTGCTAGAGAGCTAGGCGAGACCATGAGCGACGATGAGTTGAAAGAGATGGTATTCGAAGCAAATAAAACAGATAGAGACGGCTCAGTAGACAGGAAAGACTTCCTAAGCATTCTCAATAAAGCTCCTACTGTCTGATACCTCAATTGCAGCAGATATATAATAACTATATGAGAGATAGCAGCAATAAGGGGATTATATAATACAAATTCTTAGGCGTATTGAAGCAGCTCTCGTATATCTTATAAAGTTAATCACTTAATTTAACTAAATCAAGTCAAAAATTCAACCATTAAGGGGTTTTGGGGTTTTGGGGG